TTATTCTTCAAAAAATTTTTGCAAATATATTTGTCCTTGAAAGTGAAATCAACAAAATTTAAGACACAATTGGATGATCCATGGTAAACTTTCAGGTCACTTCTGGGGACCTCCATCAAGGTGATGACTCTGGGATTGCTCCCAGTACCTTCCTGGGCCACCTATGCTACTGCATCCCTCACACTGATGGACCAGGTACTCCGTTCTGCGCTTCTGAGGACCGAGACAGTACAAGGGCTCTACATTAGCCTCTGAATCAGACTGCTATCTAGGAAGGTGATCCCAGTGCCTGTCCCCTTATGAAGGAAGTTGCGTCCATTGCTTCTTCCCCGGGAGAGATGCCCTGAGCCAGGAAACGGCCATCTCCCCTGTCCTGATCTCTGCTGATTATGAGTCTTGAGTCTTCTCATGGCCAACTGAGGGCTCAGGAAATACAAACAACGGCTGCTGGCCGACTAAGTAAGATACTGACAGCAATGAAAATCCGTCACAGGATGTGTTGTTCCTAATCGTGACTTTGTTAGCACTCAAGATCTTAAAGAGGGATCGAGCACAGACACTGGCCGGAGAAGACAATCAAATATTTATTGATTTTCCCCATCCAAATGGAATATTTATATCCCTCCCAGTAGCTACCTCTCCTTGAATCTGAGAGATTATTCGCTTCACTTCACATGGTCCCTAAGTACAGCAGATGCTGCATCCGGAAAGTAAACCTGAATCTAGTGGGTGGGCTTACACTGCTTCGATCCTGTACCACAAATGGACACCACAGAGCAGGTCAGCTTCTCCAGGAAGTCACCAGCATCCACATCCCTTTCACAGAGGCTCTGAGGAAGGCCCCCAAAGAAGTCTAGCACAGCATTAAGTAACCTCCCTGGGTTCTATCAGCCCTAAGTCAAATTCCAAAGACAAAACCGGTATTTGCAAAACTCTCCTTTGACATTAATGGACAGAGGTTGGAGACAGGTAAGGCTAGACCTTCGGTGTGTGTAACTGCTGTTCTAGGGAGGTATCACCTGAAATCTACACCCTGGTAATAGCTTCTACTGATTGGAACACAATCCTGTATTTTCTAGATCTACACACAGGGTATTTTTCTATGTTCCTAAACAACAGTTCACTAAAAAAAAAAAAAAAAAAAAAAAAAAAAAAAAAGAAAAAGAAAGAAAGAAAACAAAACTGGCAAAAGCTGGATGTTCTAGGCGACTATTTGGGGCTGATTACTTCGTTTTTGCTTTTCTTTACAGTTCATTTCCTGGGGTCAGGTAATTTCTTCTTAAAATATTCAGACACACGAGAGACTGAGCTGCACTCTGTCTGTAATACCCATTCTGAGAAAGTCCTCTCTCTATGCTCATTCTCAAAGCCCAGAATATGCAAACAAAGATGCAGTGGGCAGAAGGCCAGTTAATAAATCTCATTTCCGACCAGCATCTGCGTAGAACAGAGCTGTAGGGAGTAGCCTCTCCAGGGAGGTCCAGGCCACGACTCATTCGCTCTTTGAATTAAAGAGTATCACCTCGGATGGCCCTCACCACATTTATTTTTTAAGCAGCTCTTGAAATATACGGATTCCTAACTGCAGTGGGGGACGCTGGGGCTGAGGCCCTCTCTTGTGCAATGGGTGTAGAAATGTGTACAAGTGGTTTTCCTGGGTCCTTTTGATACTTGATTGCTTCAAGTGCAATTTCCAACACAGAGGCGATTTTTAAAGGGAAGCTTGCTGTTCTAATTAAAGTGCACAGGGCTTTCAATAATGATTTGTTACCTATCTGACTTCAGTAAAAGTGAACCCTGCTGTAAAAGTGGACCCTGTTTATATGCACTGATATCTCTGACTTCAGATGTCTAGGCCAGGACCACACCTCAGTTTTACAGTGAACAATCTGGTACTCGGCCCAGGGAATGGCTCAGCAGGTGATGGCGTTAGCCTACAAGCCCAGTGACCTGAGTTTGATTCCCAGAAGCCACATGGTGGAAGGAAAGAACACATTCAAGCAAGGTTCACCTGTGACATGTGTATCCACCCACCCTAAATAAACAACAGCATTAACTAAAAGAAAACAGAGTGACTGCTTGTACACAGAAGGTATGTGAGGCATGCCACCATCCTTTTTAGGTGTTCCTGCCTTCTCTTGCCTGCAATGCCAGTGAGGTGAGGAATACTCCAGTCTAAGCTCCTGAAAGCGTTTCTCTTTGGTAACAAAGCATCCTTCCTGTTTACATACCTGCATGTATGTTCTGCAGAGGATGGAACCCAGTGCCTTAGGCGTTAACCTCACATCTCTTTAAGAGTAGAATTACAGGGACTAAGGACGTTAAGAGCAGTGGCTGCTCTCACAAAGGACCTGGGTTCATTTCCCCAAACCTACATGGCGGCTCATAACTGTTTATAACTCCAGTTCTGGGGGAATATGACACCCTCATCTAGCCTTGGAGGGTACTACGGGAACATGGTGCATAGGCATACATGCAGGCAAAATAGACATGAGATGAAAACAACAGAACACTAAGACTGCATATCCTTCACTGTAAGAGGCAATGTCAGGAAACAGAGCCTGAGATAAAGGCTGCTGGAGTCTACGTAGGAAACAGCGGAACAGCCAGGAACAGAAGTGACCCTGGTGTGGCCAGGGCCCTCAGTACATTCTAGCTCCCTCAGGAACCACACAGAAAACTTCCAGGCATATCTCACCGTTGAGAGCTACCTCTAGCCTACAGTCAAGGTCAAACTTCCACTTGGTTAAGTCTCTATTGTGGTTTTCAAATTGCCTTCCAAGTTTCCTCAGCAATCAGATGGCTACATTATCCCACTCTTAGGAGCCAAAATAAGGATGGAACACTTCCTGGATAGAAAAAATGTGTCACATTTCTTCCCTTCTCTTAGGTCTCTCCAAAAAAAAGAAAAGAAAATATGCAGTAGTTATATTGTATTGTGTTGCTCATTCACTTTGAAAGAAAGCAAAGAGGACCATCCAATGTGTCTGTTTCCAAGTGTGTCCTGCACATCAGACAGCATAAATGGAACCAACAGCCTCTCCCCCAGCAGTCCTATTCCATAAAACACAAGCACAATGATGCTTCCAATGAAGCCACTTGTTTAGTCAAATCTCTACCCAAATTCAGGTTTTTCTTTCCAAAAACAAACAAACAGAAAAACCCATAAATTATTTAATAACTGGAACAAGTAACTTAAATGAAAAACACAAGTACAATTTCATTTTAAAGCAATAATCCCCCCCCCCTACACAAAGGAGGCCCATTTGACCTTTCTGTCAAACAGTATTTCATTAGCACTTTGAGTTGGTTCACATGAGTAATAAAACCCAACTAGGCAACTTCCTCTGGCCCACGTGGTAAAATGTGTACTCTATCCTAGGAGCAGCAGCTACTGACATGGCCAGGATTAAATCACTTAGGAAATAAGTGCTTCAAATGTACTGCCTACAAGAACAGTTCAAATGATCGAGCTTTCAAAAGCACCTTGATTTTGTTCATTTTTAAATTCTCTTTTTAGGCTCACTCAGAGGAGAAAGGTGAGAAAGAGATGGGCTTTCAAACAGCAGGACCCCCAAAAGGCACGTCTCAGAAGCTGGCGATCAACTGTGGCTTGCATTAGGGGAGCTACAATCACTTGAAGTCTGTAAGGATGCTGTGCCAAGTCTATTCATTGGAACCATAAGACTCGAGACTTGGCGACCTCATGGGCACAGCCAAAATTAACTTCAAGTATTTATGTAACTGCCAGAGATGTAACAGGGCGAAGGGTTGCATTCAACCCCCCTTCTTTTGAGTCAACAAATGGTGTCTCAGCTCAGAAAGGAAGGAAGTGGGGTGCTTTGGAGTCTACGATGTGCACGTTGAATCTGAACACAGAAAATTCTGCCTGCGATACAATTTGAGAATTTAGATGGCAGCTGACTTTAAGAGTTATTTCCTGTTGCTCGCTGTCTGGGAGAGCGCCTCTTACAGGTATGTGTGCTCTACTTTAAAGCAAAAGCATCGTTGGTGGTTATAAAGGTTATGTTTAAAAATAACCACCTCAGTACAAAAGAACTTCCAAGGAAATACAACCTAAGCTATCCATCTCCCTGTAAGTCTGGCTGGCCTTTAGCTGCCTAAGATCCCAAGCTACAGTCTGGATCACATTGTTATCCTTATCAAACAATGCAAACAATTTTAATGAGCTTATCTATGGGGACATATTGCCAGATATGTTAATGCAAAAATGATGCCAACCACACAGGCAATTCATTAATCAAAAGGCTCACAATACAATGACTGATAGCATTCCCGTCCTCAAATTAGACTTCAGCAAAATACAAGGAATCACCTTTCTATTTTAAATAAGAAGGAAGGGCTCATCCACCCATGCAGAGGCCATAAAACTCTTCAGAAAATGCATAGCGGGACCGGGTTTCGGTGGGGGTTTTTTTGTTGTTGGTTTTTGTTTTTTTTAAACCCCTAGGTCTGAAATAGTCCAGCCTCTTTCTAATCAGCCTAAGGCTTTCATGGAGGGATTTTAGTGAATGTCTGACACTGTGACCTCTGCTGTCAATCCTTGCGCCAATCAGCGTGCAGAATTCTTACAAAGCTCCATCAATCTGGCGGTTTAACATCACACACACTGCAGCTTCATCTAGAGGATTCCATCTTTTCCTGCATGCTCTCCAGGTTAAGCGCAAGCGCGCTCCTCACCATCCTCCCTTTCTCGCCATTCTCCCGTTTGTTTGCTCCTTTAGTGCCCGCCACCTAATGGTTCCTTTAAATGCTGAAAGGGAAGGAGGAGAGGAAGTGCAGTGCTTGTGTCCCTTCGGGGATGCGGAAAGATGGCATGCAGGGATGAGATGAAGGGAGACCTCTTCCAGGCAACAAACCTATTCACCCGCGGAAGCCTCTATGCTCTCACCCCACCGACACAGGACCCAGTAACCAAGCAATCCTGGCCTCCGCGTTACGTAACGGGATGGACCGTCTGTAGCCACCCGTGCCAGTACCTGTAGGACCGCTCCCCGCGCACTGTATGCTTCCGGAAAGGAATGATGGTCCCGTTATCCTGGATGATGTCGTTGTTGTTCTCGCCATTTGGGGACAAGGTTTGGGTCGGCCCGGGCATTGGCGCTCTCCCGACAGAGGGAACAACACGCGGAGGCTGGCTGGGGCGGGAGGGCTGTGTCTCTCCGCTGCTTGCTGCTCACTCTGCAGCCGCGCTCTGCTCCTGCTCCGCGCCCGGCCCCGCCCTCCAGAAGACACGCCTTCAAAGGCCACGCCCTCCAACGTCAGGGCGCCAGCAGCAGCGGCAGCCGCTGGTCACGTGCCCGCTGTCGCCATAGCAACCCGCTAACTCGTCGCCTTGCCTAGGTTCACGCCGAGCGGCGCAGCGTGAGCGCCCTGGGCTGCAGGCTGCAGAGCAAGGGGCTGGCCAGCATCTGGCATGGACCCGCCCTGAGCCCGACCGAGAACCCGCTCTTCCTCTAGCTGCTTCCTCTCGGACCAAGCTATCCTTGCAGCTGTGCACACAAAAGGATTCATGTCCAGGCCTGGGGAGGCTCCAAGGCCCAAGGACAGGAAACGTGGTCAGGTTACCGGACAAACCCACAAAGACCTGGAGGTTTCCTTCTAGAAAAGGTGTGGAACTGAAAGGGTTAAGCCTTCCCCCCACGTCCCCTATTCTCCAAAGCAGCCGCCTCCTGCTTAAAAGAAGCAGAAAAATAAAACCTGCGAGGAAGCTACATTTTCTTAGTCCATACCAAGAGGTCGACCGTTGCAAATTAAATGACCGTGTAAAGCAATTCCCCAAGAGAGATTTAAAATGAAATTATTTATGTAACCACCATTTTACAGTATTACCATTAGAGAAGCCTTTTAAATTTTTTTTTTTTCTATAAAAGCAGGCTCCTGTTAGGTTGAGGCTGGTCTTGAACTTATGATCACTTTGTTCAAATTCCCAAGTTTTAAGGTTATATATGCCACAAAGCTCAGCTGTCGTCTCCTTACCCTGCTGCCCTCTGAAATCACTGATACTTTATTAATGTGTGGAATAAACAAGGGACCACCTCAATTAACATTTGGAAGCTCAACGCTCAGGCTGTTTTAGCAGTGCAATTGTTGTTTGCAAATAATTTGCCTGTTAATCAGGAGCCATTATCCCCAATTTAAAAATGAGGAAGCTAGAAAAAGATCACACCAGAAGTGGTGAAGCCGGACTTGCAAACAACACATTTTTACCAGTGTGACCACCCACTAGTGATCTGTGATCTTACAAACCTAGATAAGAAGTAAGTGTTTCAGGTACATTACCAAAATATTATGAAGAAATGGCTCTGTCCAGAATTACAAGTACCATGCAAAGTGTGAGAATTCAATAACAGACTTTAAGCAGCCCTCACAGGGGGCCAGTGTTATCTGTTCCAGAGAGAGGAGCGTCTAGACTCATTAGAAAGTCTCTGAACATCTATAGAGTGGAAGAAAATTTGGGGGTATAAAAGTCACCACATGAATGAGGATACAAGCCAAAAGTTCTCAGTTACAGCTATATGGCCTATCATCTTCCCCATTTTGTGATACAGATATTAATAACAAAAATTCTGTCATTCCTGAAAATTCAACAGCCTGCGTCCCCGGTTACAAGTTATTTCTGTCAGGCGTCTGGGATTGGAATCAAATGTTCCACAGCACAGATGGTAATGATAATCTCAAGCAAGCCCCTCCCCATTGTCTATTTTATACTCTACTTTTGTCCAGTTATTTTAATAATTTTATTCTTCTGCTTATTCAGTTAGTGCCACGGGACTAAAACTGGTTCCTTCATCTGAACCCATCATATGATAGTTACTGTTCTCATACAATCAGGACCCAATTCTGACACGGTGCTCACTAAGGAACACGAAGAGATCTTTACGTACATACAAGAGGCACGTCGAGTTTCATTCACTTCCAGCTAGCTAAAGGGACCTGGGACTGTGAGCGTTATGATTCCATTCACACCTCCCTCTTCCTGTTTCTGGTACTTGACGCGCTTGCTAACTTCTCTCTTCCTTTCAGCAAGACTTCCTTTTGCCGTAGTCAGTCTAAACTTTAAAGATGCTATCCACAGATCAAATGCTCTGTTTTCCCACCATGCCCTCTCAATGGGTGGGGGGAGCTTTCATGGAGCTCACTTTGGTATGATGTCATATTTAAATATGTTAGACATAATTGATACTATCTATGGTGAGGATTAATTTGATCACAGTTTGAATGCACAGTTCATGCCTTTAAATTGATTTCTACCAACAGTTTGCAGAGAAAACACTCCTACCCACCCACCCTTGTGCAGTTGCTCAAGAAGGAGGGGACAATGGCCGACAATTTACTTGGTAGGCTGAAAAGGGAGGAATTGTAAGTCGAGCAGAAGAGGGACTCTGAAGAACCTGTAAATCTTCCTGTATGACTGCTCTGAGCCATGCTACTATAAAGGGACCCAGAGAGCTCCTGAGAGCAGCCATTACCCTCTAAGATGCGGGGGTAACAGGGGTAATAATTTGAAAACATTAAACAGATGCCGTTTCGTTCCTCTCACATAAATCAAGTTACCTGGCAGCTATTCTCCAGTTTAGCCTTGGGGAAAAAAGGAAGGCAAATTCCACTTTGGGGAGAGGATGATCCAATATTGGGAAAAACGGAGAAGATGGAAAGAGACACAGAGAGCCCATCTTTTCAAACAGTGGAATGTAGGAATGAAGGTGCAAACTAACAAACAAAAGGCAACTGGTCTCCCAGTCTGTCTCCTAGAAGAGACATCAAATAGGCTGAAGGTACAGCCAAAATCTAGGGGACTTTCTTTTGTCTCATTTCACATTGAAAAAGTCTAGGACATGACTATCCTTGAAAGAATGTCTCACTAATTCTTTCCATTCCCAAGGGAGGGGCCGCCTGTCTCCGTGGAGACCTCCTGTACTACAATGAAGAGCTCTTTCTTCACCAAGCTCTGGCTCCATCACAGTGAGAACCCTTTCCTGACAAGGTCTGCCCCATCACAGCTCCCCCCACCATGTAGTTGCTTGAGGAGAAGGGAAGCTGAGAAGTTTCTGTCTGCCCTCTAGAAAATAACCAGGAGGTTGAGTGGTTGAGGCTTCAGGAAACTGAGATTACGGTAGTGCTGATGGCAAGTGTGTTATCGCAGCAGATGCAGAGGGACAGTAACAGTTCCCAGGAACTCAAATAAGAGAGATAGACAGCTGTGAGAAAAGGGACATGATGGCAGAGCCAAGTCTGTAGGTGCTGCCCAAGAGTTCAGCACAGAATACCAACAGAATGCTTCTGGATGGCACCAGACCAGAACACCTCATCAGGGCTAGACATTGCAAAGGCAAGGACTGCCATGGGACCAGGAGGCCCACCTCAACCACTTTCTGGCTTTCTACACATCCATTCAGTCCCCAGACTGCAGGCAAAGGGAAGAGGCTCTTAGAAATTGACTCTTTTTCCAAGAGATGAAGCCCAAAGGTACCTCAACTGGAAGATGCTGTAATGTGGTGAGCTGGCAAGCTTAAAACTTTCTGGCTAGCTCCCAGCAGACTAAGGGAAGTCACGCAGATGAAAGGAAGAAACAAACTAAAGTGTCTATGTATACCTGACTTTGGATTACACTTTTGTTGTATACACAGAGAGCTACCATAGCGGGGAAACACTCCTTTCACCAAGCAGCATATTAAAATTAGGATTCTGGATTCAGGCAGGCTGGGCTTGTTTTGGCCACTCACCACTATGTAATTTTGGCAACTTGCTTCATATCTTTAAGGTCTTGCTCCCCAATCTATAAAGCAGCTGCAATAATACTGGTTTCACAGCGTTGCAGTGGGATTAAGTTACCTAACACACTGAAAGCACCTGACATTGAGAAGGGCAAAAAACTCAGGCTCTGACTTCAAGACATTTCCAGGGCTGAGGGTGATGAGCGGGTACAATGCAGTTACAGTACAAAGGCTAAGATCAGCACTAAACTCAGTGGGACAGCAAAGCGGGGTCTGAGTTCTCTGGACATCTGTCTACTACCATGATACCATGAGGGATAACAATAGTAACCTGTTTTCTTTCTTTCTTTCTTTTAAGACAGGGTTTCTCTGTGTAGCTTTGGAGTTTGTCCTGGAACTTGTTCTGTAGACCAGGCTGGCCTTGAACACAAGAGATCTGCCTGCCTCTGCCTCTTCGTCCAGCAGTAACCTGTTTTGATCACTCCCCATGCAACACCTCCCTTAGGAAAGGGCCCTCCACTGCCTTGTTCATGGTGCTCCTCAAGCGGAGCCTGGCAGGCAGTAGGCAGTGAATGAATTTAATCGTTTATTTGTTCAATGAATTTTTAGGGGAGGAACAGTTTGTTCGCGATTGGATATGAGAATTTCTTGCCCAATAGCTGAGATGCTTATCCTGGAGGCAGTGCTGTCATTAGAGTCAGGATGGAGTGGGGATGAAGGATGGAGTAGACAGGCTTTGACAGAGGCAGGAAGGGGTGTGCTCCCAGCAGGACACCGCAGACTGCTCTGTATGGAGAGAAAGCAGAGTGCATGGCAGCAGCGGCCAATAGGAAGTGGGGCTTAGGCCAATGCTGAAGCCAAGGCTTCAATCTGAACTGATCTGCAAATACAGAGTAACTCATGATGAAATGTGCATATCAACTTGTGATGATGTTAGCACTATGATGCTCTATTGAAAATAAAACCAGTTCCCAAACCTAAAACAAACAAAACCAAGACAATGAAGACTTAAACCAACAGATCATAGGACTGTAGAAACAAGCACACATTCGCAAATTCAAAGACTATAAATGCTAGGATTTAGTAGATAACTGGAAATGGGCTAGGTGATGGGAGGGAGTTGAGGGTAGGAGGTAGTGAAGGAAACAGGAACTTCTCAGATAGGTCCCAGGCTTGTGGCTTGGCCACCAAGTAGATACTATCATTTGGCAAGCTTAGAAATGCAGATTAAATTGTTCCTTTGGAAGAAAGTTTCTCAAAATGTGTTTTAGTCACAGAGGAAAACCCTATAGGACATGCTATTAGCAGCCAGCCTGTGTGTTAGTCCTTCCATGTTTGTTGAATGTGTGTGGGTCTTGCTCTTATCAGCTGTGTTTGATGTGGCTACACACTAATTTTCGGGTAATTGTCTCCAAAGTGCTTGCTGAAGCTGCAGCCGCTCTCACTTGCGC